TCTAAAACGTTTACATTGTCCCAACGATGACGTGATTATCTTTACTTGGTCAGTATTCTACTAAAGGCGGGTATAGGTACGTGCGATTTGTAAGGAAGTTGAAAACGTAAAGGAGGAAATTATCAGAAAAGAAAACGGGCCAGGCTTGTCTGTTTTACGATTGGTTAACGCAAAGTGAAAATATATCTCTAGCAATAGCATTATCATGATATCATTTTGAATGAATCCTTTACCAGAGAGGGGCTGGGGGTACGACAAATAGCGAAATCTCAAGAAAGGCTGCGAATTAGGCTTCTCTTGAAAGACTTAGATAATAGTTACAATACATAAATGAAGCTTAACGCACCATCGTAGATAAATAAGAAATCGTTTTTCTTCGCACAACATCAAAAACTAAGGTCATGCGATAACTATCCCCTCCCTCGTGGATTTTAACATTAGTATTAACCTAAATTCCATGAAAGAACTCACAATTCTTTGATTTTGATGAATGGTCTCTTCATCTTTTAAATACGATTTTGTTGTGCAATATCACATATGTTATGGAAATAATTCTGTATAAATTCTAGAATTTAGCTGACATTTCCTTTTGTTTCATTTGAACAAGCAAATTTGAATTGAAACAGTGGTTTCTCAGCGGAACCTAGTCTTGCACTATCTTAGGCTTTAAGTATGAATGTATTGTATAGGCGCATATAGAATACATTCTCAATTGTACTTCTTCAAAAATAATTACAAGTGCATCATAGTACCCCACACACTAATTAGTCACAAACTTTTAAACTTGTTTTCAACATTTTCCCTTTATTCAATCACCATGGAATTTTTCACAGCTAAATTAGAAACAATTTCCAACACTCAATTTTTTTTTGATTTGTCTAACTATGCCAGGTGTTCATTTTGCAGAGAAGTGAAGTTGTTACATTGTTTCGCATTTTTTCACATTTTGTTGCTATTTTGTAGCAAAATTGACCTTTTGCTGCTCATTGTGAATTTGTTTACCATGCAGATTACAGAATTGTAGTTCAAGTTGAGATATCAAAATGAAGGGGGTTAAAGGTTTTCTCCCAGGACAACTTAATCCATCTAGTATATATTTTAAATCTTACAGAGAAGCTACATCTATGTACAAAAGCCCTACCGTTTCATCAAGAGCATACACACCACGGAGGAGAAGTGACATACTTCAACAAATTTCCCAAGGGAAAAAGATCTCCGAAGTTGCTGCAAATCATGGGGTTACAACAAGGACTGTACGACGTGTTGCGAGTCATGTAGAACCCAAAAGTCGTGGCCGCAAGTTTATAATACCCCCTGACTCTGATCTAGAGGATATTCTGTTCGACATCACAGACAATGAGCAGTTTTCAAGAATATCGGAAGTAAATGAAAAGTGTTTTACAGAGACTGGATCTCAGTCAGTGATGAAACCCTATAACGATACTTGTATAGGAGGAATGGTGGTGCTTTTAAAATGGTAGCACCAGACAAGTCTAGTGATGATGTGAATCTTGATAAAATTTATGACATGCATTACGGATTCATCGAAGGATTCAATAATGCTCTTGATCTGGGACTAACACTCGATGATGTGATTTATCAAGACGAATTCCCCATATTTGAAAACTCATTGCCTTCCTTAGGACGCACACGCAAAGGTACCAAGTTATACGCCCGCTCAGCATACCGTCCTGCTCGTTATACATGCTTAAGCTGTAATATCACAGTCGCAGTTTGTGAAGGTATCTCTCACAAAGAGGAATGCAGATGACTCCGTGGTCAAGAAGTTTGCAATTGCATCTGAAGCCAGGAATCGATATCTTGGTGGTCCAGGACTTCACCGGCTTTTACCTAGGGGGTCAACCCTAGTTTGGGATAGATTAGGACGCTCAGGGAGGGCCCTGAATCCATGCAAACAGCATTACAATCCTGAAGTCAGGGTAAAATTAGAAGAAAATGGTGTAAACGTAGTGATGCTACCTCCAAAGGGCCATCTTCTTAATCCTTGTGAGCTCTTCAACAATAGCATCCAACAAAAAGTATCACGGTGGCATCCCCCTGGCAACCCCTGTGATGAATATGGCCACTCAATTGTAGGCCCCCGATCGTTTGAGGAATGTTTACTTGCTCTCAATGACGCGCTGTTTGAAATGAGAAACAACCCTCATGCCTTTAAGGAATTCTACAAAAAGAGAGCTACTGGTAAAGATTTCTATAGACGCGTTGCAGGAAGTAAAGTGGCAAGACGGGTGAAAAACAGGAGAAACAGAGCCAAAGATGCCCGCCATGTATTCCAGTGGCCCGGAAAGCGCCTATATGAATCTACACAAAGACATGAACCACTGTCTTCATAATGCTATTCACCAGTTATTAAAAATTTGAAATACATATGACAGTATGTAATGTATGACAGTATAGAAAACTACTTAAAAAGTTGTTGATGTTAAAGTTTATCCAAGTGTTTCAATTTGTACATCTCAAAGAATTAAGCCAAATATACATAAATATAGCATAAAATGTGAAAAAATGCGAAATTGGTGCTTCATCTTAAATGACTGTAAAAATTTGAAAATTAAAATTCAAGCAAATCAAAAAAATCTGAGTGTTGGAAAGTGTTTATAGTTTGTCCATGTGAAATTTCATCATGATTCAATAAAGGGAAAGTGTTCAAAACAAGTTTTAAAGTTTGTGACTAATTAGTGTGTGGGGTACTATGTAAAGTAAATAGTGAAGTTATTTGTTAATTTATTTTCAACTTTGGACTGAACAGTTGCATGTAGCAGAATATATACACAATACTTTTGTATTTAGAATGAGAATACAAATGATAATAAATAGTAGGCCCAGTCGGGAGAGAACTTAAATCCCAAATCTGTATATTTACTCTCATTTCTTCACTTTGAAGAGTTAAGTCACCATATTTTGCATACATATTCCCTGGAGAAATCCTAACATAGAATTTACTTGGTTTTAATTATAATTTATTTGGGGAAACATTTGATTCCGGTGCTTATTTTTCCATTTTTAGTCGTTTGGCCTTGGTACCATCCTGACGTCACAATATAGAATCTGACATTATATATGCACCATTCATTTAATTACGGTAACTGGTAACACACCAAAATCTCATATAATACAGGCATCTTCGGGGGTCGTTTTTTGACCCCGTTTTATTTCAAATATCATGTTTCTACATACCATTTTTCTCGGAAATGTCTCAATTACTAAAAACAGTTTCGCTTGTGCTGAAGAAGAAAACAGAAATTATTAGCTTAACATTCTGTGAAAAAATGAGCCAGGTTCATTACAAAATCAGCTAGAGCACTTTTGATCTTATTTAATGATCAATACTGTACAAGAAAACACGTTACTTTTTCTTATCCTATTTTAGTCTTAGTATTGTAAGATAATTATAATCTGATCAACCAGTTTTTTAAAACACTCATATACTAAAATGATTCCCAATGTTTTGTAAAAATGTGTAAATAGAATCTACTAATAAGCCAAGGCCCTATTCTTCATCCTTTACTAAAAATCTATCCATTATCATCAAACGCATACTATTACTCGCACTCAAACCTAAATATCACAGTATTTGTGTGCCGTATTTATCCCAACGAACGAAGTTCGGTAGGGATATAGTGAAGCCCTCCGTCCGTCAGTCCGTCAGTCAATCCGTCAGTCAGTCCGTCAGTCCGTCCGTCCGTCCGGAAGATAACTCAAATACGGGTTGACGGATTTTCTTCATATTTAGTGGAAAGATGTATATTGGTGAATAGTTGTACGCAAAAAAACCCATAAATTTTTCATTTCTAAACCAAAGTAATTAATATTATTGTTTGAAATTTTGGTAGTATATTCGCAACATCTATCTATTTCACATATATTCCGTGTTTTTCATCCTGACCCCCAGGGGCCGTGTATGGGGGGTCAGGAAAACAGTAATTTTCGCTAATTTTTAGATCTTTCTGAAGTATAGCTTTATTATACTCAAATGAAAGGCAATCAAGAGTAGATTGCAAATATTGTATCTTTTTTCTGATTCGAGCCTCGTAAAATTCAAAATGGCCGTCTAATGTACGATTTCGCAATAATTTTTCGATCCCTTCCAAATCCAGAAATTACCAGACACTTTCTTTATCAGGGGAGCTGTCAACACATCTGATAAGAAGTGTTCTATGCAGCTCTAGTGAAACTTGATGCTATGTTTTGGCAATACAAGATGCAGCCTACTTGTAAATAAAATACAGTTATCCATGTACGTAATATATGGTTCAACAAAAAACAACAACTAAAAAACAACAACTAAATATGAGAAACTAATGTGGTATATGCCATGTTTATGTGTCTGATCATATAATCTTGAAATTATCCATCAATTTCTTAAGAAATTGGCGAAATTAAGGAAACCAGAAAACACATTTGATGAAAGGGCGGTGTTTATAGCCTGTATGAAATGCCCCTGCATTAACGCTCATATATATGAGTTTTAAACATAAATTTAGTAGACTAAAGTGTTGATGCGAAATCTCAGTAATAGTACCAGTTAGGAGATAAGGTGATGTCCGATTTAACATTACGATTGCTGGATATGAAAGTATAGCTATATTATACTCAAATTGAAGGAATTTTGGAGTAGATCACAATTATGGTATTATTCTTCAGATTTGTACCTCAGAAAATTCAAAATGGCTGCTTTGCAGGAATTCGCAATTCTAAAATCTAAATTTTTCAATTTTAACCAAAGTAATGAGTATAATTGATTGGAATTCGGTAATTGATATTTTGTTCGTTGGGATTTGCTACTCCGCGGAGTTGCCATTGTCTAGTTAAGATAATATATCATATGCACTAATCTGCTAAAAGGATGAGGGGGATACTTATGATCACCTGATCTGGGGGCGAGAACTGTAATTCTTGAAACGAGTGGTCTTAGAGACCAGTCGACCAATTACTCTTTGTTACTCGATGTTGGGTTTTTATTGTGCAATGTATTTTGTATACTTTTGAAGAAATTTGTTAAATAACCAAGTCCATTCAATCCCCTCTTAGCATCATTGAAGTCTTCAACCGCATCATTAATTTTCTTATTGAAGTTTGTTTGTATCTTATTATTGTTCAGCATATCGGCTATCCATTCAAATCCCTCTTGGTACCCAGTCCCTTGAATAGCAGATGCTCCAACAATATCTAAAATAAAGATGTTAGCATTCATTAGATAGCTATAATCAGGAATGATAATTGGATGCCCTTAAAAATTGTCAATAGATAGCGAGGAATTCGGTACATACATGTACTAAGATGTAAGTATGAGCTCAAAAACCTCAAAAGATAAATATCAATGAACCTTAAAATATCAAAACTTTAGACATATTAGTAAATGATAAAGAAGAAATGGTTATTGAACCAAGTGTTTACTTATACTTACGCCAAATGTGTGTGCGGCTCATCCTATGTAGCCCAAGGTTATCTGTAATTTCCTCAGGTGACATTGCATTTGGAAGGTCTTGTTTGTTTGCTACCACAAGGACGATAACATCTTTAAGCTCGTCTTCGTGTATAATATTTTCCAACTCGGACTTCGCGAAGTCTATTCTTTCTCTGTCATTGCTGTCGACAACAAATACGATTGCGTCTGTGTTTTGATAGTAGTGACGCCATAAGGGCCTCTGTAAATTGCAAATGCAAAGTTAGAAAATAGCAATTTCGTTCAAATGTTTCCTCTGCCTCTGAAATATTTGGGTTTATATCACACAATCATTCGTTGTAATTATTCTTCTCTATCTAAAAGTCCAGAAGTTCATGCTTTATTTTGGTAAAATCCTAGATTAACACAAATCTGCATGTGGATAATGGATATACACATGGTTTGTTTTGAATTCGTAGTTTTCAATCAACAAGCTTCTAGAGATTCTGCTACCTCCCATTGTATGTCTCCTACCTAGCCTTATCAAGCAATGAATATAAATAAATTAATTCTTACTATTTTGTCTCTGCCACCTACGTCCCAGGCCGTGATATTCAAATGCTTGGTGGAGAGTGTTTCTACATTAAATCCAATGGTTGGAATTGTTGTCACTACTTCTCCAAGTTTCAACTTGTATAACATTGTTGTTTTACCAGCAGCATCAAGACCTGTAGTGCATCACAAAAATAAATGTTGATATAGTTTAAAACAGAAGGGGTATATCGTATCGGGCTCTCATGTTTCTTATAGGGTTTGCATCATATTTTTTGAGGGGTATAGTGCCATATGATTCGCAAACACATGTGAAAATAAATGAAAAGTAAAATCTTAATCTTCATTTAGCCCGAAGAGCAAGAATAGGCTATATTAAAAAATACAATATACGAAAAAAAAGAAAAAGAAAAGTCTTCGTTTAAAGGGAATGCGAAGTTTCATGTTCTAATTTACACGCTGGCTACTTAAAACCATCATCTATCACTTCAGCTCACTCATGGGACATATCGTGTTTGAACTAACATATAATTCAAGTTCAAAGTACCCATATCTGGATCGCTGCGGATGCCGCCATTGTTATGTATCAATGACGTCATTGATGCCTTAAAATTGATGCCTGGGAAATGTCGCTATATAATAATCACGTCATACTCGGATCGCAGAAATAGAACACATTTCACTGATAGTTTATAACTATTTCTGTCCGCTTAACATTGTTGCCGCATGTTCATGTCCACATCATATCATATATTTGGAAAAGTTGTTTCAATATATTCTTCATAGAAATTGAATTGTTGCAATGTCTTTTTTCATATGTTTGTATTTATTTTCTCCAATGTAATATAGTATAGGCTAGGTAGAAAAAATCACTTAACTTATGAGATATCGGCTGCGCGATTCGGAAGTCATCGCATTATATTCCACTTGAAAAATATCCACTAGAATTATTTTATATAATGATAACACTGGGTCAAAAAGGATAAATCTGTTCAAATCCTGTTAATGCTTTCTTGTATATTTAACCAATAAATGAGGTAAATGCATTAAAATATACAAAATGGCATTTACACATAAATGCATTACTGTGCATCAATGGAGATTTATTTAACTAAGATTAATGTGGCTAATGAGTTGGCGTATTTGTGGTGAAAATAAGTAAGTTATATCATCGGCTGGACGCATCCAACAAATAGTTGCATTTACCATATTTATGTAAATACACGAAATACCATTTAAAATATCAAAATCTATGCTTATGTTCATTAATTGATGAGCATTTACGGCAGATCATTATTAACCTAAGGTATACGTCGGCAAATAGGCATACTGCCGCAATTGTGCTTTCTTACCTAATCATAAATGGTAGATTTCTTCGATCTGTAGTATTGTATTCAAATATGAATAGGTGAATATTGGAGAATGAAAGAAATAAAACAAAAAGTAGTAATCCAATGAAACTGTAACTCCCTAATTAAATATATAAGCACTAGTGCCAAAGGGAAAAGACCAAAAGTTGTAATGGAACTTAGCAAGAAAAAGCAAACTCTAAGTGCATACCAGTCAAGAAAACACACCCCATATAGCCCAAAACCATGATCTAACGTGAAAAGAAACAATGTCTAATACCCCCTTTCCCCACCATTCAAGAATCAATATCACAATCCAAGACCAGAAGACCAAGAGACATTTCATTCATACTGAAGTCATTACAATACCTGTTGAAGAAAAAATAGAAATTGATAGCCAATACTCATTAAGTGTTTAGCCATTTAAATTCTGATGAAAAACGCAAACAAAAAAAAACGAAAAATCGATGTCGTCTAAATGATACGTATGTAAATGTCTCCTAAATATTAAGATTGCCAATAGCTTTACAAGGACATGCCACTGTCATATTTTCAAAGAATAATACGTAATGTTTAATTTTTCTCAGTTGTTAAACGACCAATTTCAATCATCATATCACCGTAGCGACATTCGATATGACAAAAAAAGCTTTTCAAAATTCAATGGTATTTCACCTTGGATCATGACAAGAGAAGGCTCATAACATTCAGTGATGCGGGGAGACGATGGGGTCTATTGTAGTATGATATTTCATTTCAACGACGATAAGGCAATTGCCGTATTGATAGTACGGCAATAGTTTAATATTTATTTTTTGTTAAAAACAATTCCTGATTTCGAGCTCGAATTTAATTATATAACATCCGTGGTAAGTACAGTTCTACAGTTTTTTCGAAATAATGATTTTCAATTTAATGGCATACAACCTTTTTTTCTATATCGGAAAATAAGTGGAATTTAAAAGCTTCAGTCACATTTGTTCAATGCGACCACACGTCGATCGTATTTCCCTGAAATCAGTAAATTTCTGCGGCAAACATAGGAAAACTACAGTCGACTTAAGGTCACCTTGCTGTCTCACGTACACGACATATCCAGGTTTTTACAAGGCGTAGAGTCGGAGTTATAACTTTTTCTTTCCTGTGGTCACCATAGATATCAACAAGCAGCAGCCAAACCGTAGGTCTCACGACGGCCGTACGTCGGGTTCACGGTCGACTTGCGGCTGCGCTTGGATTTCGGTTACAATTGACCTTTCCGAACCATAGAACCCCTTGTGGATGCCTTCAAGAAAAACTACGCACGTCGTAGGGCCGTCCTACGATGATCGTGCGTCATCATTTATCAGCCGTACGGGAATCGTAGTTTTTCCCCATAATCAAGATACGCCGTACGGCTATCTTAGCAAATGTGACTGCTAAATTATCTGACTGCAGAAATATTATGTTTTATTCAAATAGTTTGCATTCGCCTGATAGAATTAGCATCCTCTGTTCGCATTTAGCGCTAGACCTAATAAAAGTTAAAAAGTCGCGAATCCCAGATGTTTCAATTGTAAATAAAGAATAAATCTAGCCTGCATTCCATGTCTAGATAGGTAAAAAGCAATTCCGAAAATGCCGGCGTTAATATTCTATTGAAATCGTTCTTTATTTTGGGTGGTATATACGTATTCTTTTAGTTTCTTTGAGATGATTTCTTTAGTTTTGGAATGGCAACAACTCGGCATTCATTTTTGATTCAAAAATGGCGCCACAAAACTTTTGGAATGCCAAGGCATCAATCTGGCATCAATGACGTCATAACAATGTCGTAAAGAACCACTTTACGGTTGAAATGGCAGCTCCGTGGTCCAGTTCATATGGATATAGTCCTGAGTAAGGACATTAGCGGTTACCGTTAGTGATTTGGTTTTCTAAATAAAAAGTCATTTTCTCCTTCCCTAGCCCATTGGAGCGCCATCTGGTGTTTGGGAAGTGAATCGGGACTAAATATTTATAGGGTAGGTCCTAATTTATCTGAAAACATGTCAGAGTTCAGTGGGAAATCTCATTTTAAGCTGGCGGCGGAGTGATTTTGACCTTGGTGATTTTACCAGAATTCTCTGAGAAATCTGACGATAGAGGAGGTTAGTGTCTTCAAGTTTATTTATTTCAAAAATTCGGTGGACAACCCATGGTAAGATTGTTATAGCAGGCTAGGCGAGTCTCTCCCGAACACTGTGGTATGTTGCACTAGGTTTGGATACTAATCGTTAATAAGATACAGGGTGAAACGTTATAATGGCCACCTATGGGAAACTCTACTGTGGTCTTCAACCTATTAGAAGGCGCTTTTTGGGGCCATTTTGAAGGTTTTATCCCTTTTTGAGGTTTTTTAGTTCATTGAGAAGCCTAATAGCGTATATCATATTAAAGGGCTGTATCTTAGCTGAACAGTGCTACCAAAATCGTGACATTTTGAAGCAATTTTGGTGTTTTGGGGGCGAGGCCACTGTGCCAAGTACCCCGAATTCCATTCTCCCGTGCCATTCAATTGTTTTCGGGGCAGTTTTGAATGAACCTTTGTTTCTTCCTACCAATATGACGTCATAAGATGCAATCGAACGCCTTGGCATGGATATCACTTGAAAGATAGTAGAAATCACTTTCCAATGATACCCCATATGGCCATGTTCACCTCAGTTGGGTGTACTCAATCTGTGATGCAATCTCTAAGGTGTACCCCTACCCCAAAGAAATTTCAAGAAATCTCAAAATCAAATTTCCTGAATTTTGCTAAAAGGACCTGTGTCTATAAGGATTGAATTTTCCTCCGTGCATTTTCTCAAATATAGGATTGTTATATACCATTGTGATCGGGATGATGCCTACAATGCTAATATGACCATGTTGGAAGAAAACAAACTAATTCAGTTTACTATTAGGATATAGTCCTGAGTAAGGACATTAGCGGTTACCGTTAGTGATTTGGTTTTCTAAATAAAAAGTCATTTTCTCCTTCCCTAGCCCATTGGAGCGCCATCTGGTGTTTGGGAAGTGAATCGGGACTAAATATTTATAGGGTAGGTCCTAATTTATCTGAAAACATGTCAGAGTTCAGTGGGAAATCTCATTTTAAGCTGGCGGCGGAGTGATTTTGACCTTGGTGATTTTACCAGAATTCTCTGAGAAATCTGACGATAGAGGAGGTTAGTGTCTTCAAGTTTATTTATTTCAAAAATTCGGTGGACAACCCATGGTAAGATTGTTATAGCAGGCTAGGCGAGTCTCTCCCGAACACTGTGGTATGTTGCACTAGGCTTGGATACTAATCGTTAATAAGATACAGGGTGAAACGTTATAATGGCCACCTATGGGAAACTCTACTGTGGTCTTCAACCTATTAGAAGGCGCTTTTTGGGGCCATTTTGAAGGTTTTATCCCTTTTTGAGGTTTTTTAGTTCATTGAGAAGCCTAATAGCGTACATCATATTAAAGGGCTGTATCTTAGCTGAACAGTGCTACCAAAATCGTGACATTTTGAAGCAATTTTGGTGTTTTGGGGGCGAGGCCACTGTGCCAAGTACCCCGAATTCCATTCTCCCGTGCCATTCAATTGTTTTCGGGGCAGTTTTGAATGAACCTTTGTTTCTTCCTACCAATATGACGTCATAAGATGCAATCGAACGCCTTGGCATGGATATCACTTGAAAGATAGTAGAAATCACTTTCCAATGATACCCCATATGGCCATGTTCACCTCAGTTGGGTGTACTCAATCTGTGATGCAATCTCTAAGGTGTACCCCTACCCCAAAGAAATTTCAAGAAATCTCAAAATCAAATTTCCTGAATTTTGCTAAAAGGACCTGTGTCTATAAGGATTGAATTTTCCTCCGTGCATTTTCTCAAATATAGGATTGTTATATACCATTGTGATCGGGATGATGCCTACAATGCTAATATGACCATGTTGGAAGAAAACAAACTAATTCAGTTTACTATTAGGATATAGTCCTGAGTAAGGACATTAGCGGTTACCGTTAGTGATTTGGTTTTCTAAATAAAAAGTCATTTTCTCCTTCCCTAGCCCATTGGAGCGCCATCTGGTGTTTGGGAAGTGAATCGGGACTAAATATTTATAGGGTAGGTCCTTATTTATCTGAAAACATGTCAGAGTTCAGTGGGAAATCTCATTTTAAGCTGGCGGCGGAGTGATTTTGACCTTGGTGATTTTACCAGAATTCTCTGAGAAATCTGACGATAGAGGAGGTTAGTGTCTTCAAGTTTATTTATTTCAAAAATTCGGTGGACAACCCATGGTAAGATTGTTATAGCAGGCTAGGCGAGTCTCTCCCGAACACTGTGGTATGTTGCACTAGGTTTGGATACTAATCGTTAATAAGATACAGGGTGAAACGTTATAATGGCCACCTATGGGAAACTCTACTGTGGTCTTCAACCTATGCAAAACCCGGGGCTCAATAACAATTAAAAGGATAATGATAGAACAATAAAACTAAGTTGGATTGAAAGATATATCTTTATTCTAACTTATTATCAAGTTTAAGGGACAAAACTTCGCATTCCCTTTTAAAGAACTTAGCCTCAGGAGCAAGAATATACTAGTAAGACAATCTTTTTGATATATTTTACTCTATACAGTACCTAAGTTACAACAAGTGTTAGAGAGGGAAGTTCAGCATAAAAAGTATCACTTTTACTTACCGTGCATAAGAATCCTGAATTCTTTCTTTTTTATTCCTAAAGAGGTTGCAAATGCTGAGCAATGTTGTCCCATGATGTTTGAATTCTGCTCTTTCTATTTATTGCTTTATGGAGTTGCTTTATGGAGTTATCCGACCCCCGGGATATCACTATTGCCAGATCCTGACTTTGTTATACGGCTGCACCTTCTTGATACCAAAGATTGAATAATCCTTGAATGTCATATAAGCAGGAAACTATAATCAGTATTGATTTTTGATAAAAATGTACACCTTATTTGGAACTGTGTCATTAGCTCCAACGTGGAACTTGACAAGATGTTGAAGATCCATATCAGGTTATAGTTCTACACAGAACGAAATAAATTATGTGACAGTATAATAACATTTTACAGTATACCATTTTCAATATGACATGAGCGAACAGCTCATTTGAAACCTTGTCATAAAGTTCCACCGTGGAACTGTTGTGTACGTAATTGTTATAGCGATACTTCCACTGAACGAAAAGGGTTTCATCACGCGTGGTTTTGTACGAGATTCAATATGGCCGCAAAGTTCTAAAAAGTTCTGTTAAAAGTTTTCATAGCTCTATTTTGGTGTTTTACAGTAAAGTAAGACATACTTTATATTTGTGATGATATTTTGTTAAAGCTTATATATTTTAAAAATCATTAAGTCAGCATGAATATTTACATTTGGGTAAATAAGGTATTAATTGGAAAAATAACTATACTTTTCTAAAATGTTAAACCCGGAAGTGCAACAAAAGTTACAGGACTTGGTTGCTCATGTTCTTTCTGTTTTATTTAGATCAATTCATGGTGATGCTTCACTCCTCTATTCTCTAAGTGCTTGATCAAGTGCAAGCTTTGGACCATGATTGACGTTCTGATATCATGGGTAACTACAAATCAAGGCCAACAATCTCATGTGCAGGTACCAAACAATTTACAGTTTATATGTAAACGATTTCAACATGTGATCTTTGCATACTGCTCTACTATATCTAAGCTACAGAATAGGAATGCAGTTGTAATAATTTACTACACTCATTACTCATTCCTGTTATATAAATTACCCTTTTAAGAAATAACATTTTCATCATCATCACAATACACAACAGCTCGCCATAATATTGCATGATTGCATTTTTCAGAAAACATTCTGCATGATTTACTTTATTACACTCATGTAAGCTCATGCAGTCGGACAGTCCAACCCAAGTATTCTTCATCCATGTACTGTACAAAGACTGATTATTTTGTGTTATTGTTTTACAGTAAAAAGTTTGTCATTTTTCAGATGAGTTGAAAAATAAGATAAGTGAAAGCTATGCTGTATTGCGGTCCAAACTCATAGAAGATTTACGGACAAGAGATGTAGAATGGACTGATTTCCAACAAGCTTGTAGGTAAGCCTAGCCTCTTCAGATGTTCACATAGATAAGAAATAAACATAGAATAATATTATCATAGATTGTGATTCAACGACCAACAAATTATCACAATGTGAGCACATTTTAAATTCGAATGCAAGTAAGGCTAGGAAGTTAGATGTGCCACACAAAACGCTTGATTAAGTGGCATTTTAAAGGATAAGGCTAAAATTGAACTAGTGTGTAAGTCATTCTGACATTTCAGATCCTTATAAGAGAGTTTTTGCATAATATATGTATTACATTTATCAGATATTTAAGTACTGTAAATGACACTCGATAGCATATCTAGTAGTTCACAATCTACCTATATTTTTCGATATTTTCAATCCACTTCCTACGGAGAAAATAATTTATGATTGGATGATTGGAACATATATATTTTTGTTTTCAATTAGCCGTAGTGATGTCCTGAAGGTTGTAGAGCTTGCAAGTAGTGATAATGTAAATGATAAAGATCATGCTGGGCTAACTCCTCTGCATCTTTGCTGCATAACTGGAGGTAAGCACAGCCCTAATACTTTTGTGAATAAATTGAATTGAAATTAAATGGAGTTTCATAAATCCCATTTTGGCATATCTTTTTACAACACCCATACTAAATTGCAAACATTTAATATCCTCTCAGATTCTTTCTAGAGGCAAAATATCGTTCGTAGAAGCTAAAAGCTACTATACACCTATATTGTACAGATTAATTCACATGATGTATCATCCATTGGGTAATTACATTTCTCAATTTTAATCACAAATACAGATTATGAGGTATTTAGAGACTGCATGAATCTCAAATAGCTACAAAATGGAGATCATACAACATTATTATTTACACAAATCCATAATAAGAACTTTTGTCTGAACGTTATTCCTGTATTTCCTATAGGATCTAAAGATCATGTAAGATGTTTACTACAGAAAGGTGGGGATGCCAATACCCTTAGTCGCAATGGCTTCTCTCCTTTGCACATTGCTTGTTATAAGGTTAGTATGCTGTATTTCTTGGAAGAGTTTCCATGGTAATTGGGGGTCTGACAAACTATACTTTAAATATGCGAGCAATTCAGTTTATCATAAATCAGGGAGTTGGCTAATCTTTTTCTTCTTTGGAAAAATAAGAAAATGTTATGAAACAGAACCCTATAGTCAAATTCCCAGGTTTTTAACAATTTTAAGTAAATACTCACTGTATAAAAAGAACTCTTAACATGTTTAATCACTAGATTACCCTGGATGCACCCGGCTAACAATAATGGTTGTACTTGAATAATTTCAGGGTGATGTAGAGTTAATTTGTGCCTTGCTTGATGGAGGTGGCAATGTGCAACATTTTGGTTACCATGAAGTAGCAGGTCTTCATATAGCCTCTATGTGTGGGCATGAAGAGGTAGTTATAAATAAATAAAGTCTAAAATGTATTCCTTTTATATAAAATCTGAGATTGAGTACCTGTGTCCTTAATACCAATTTCTGTACTGTAAATTATGATTTTTCTGGAAAGTCCAAAATAGTCTAGATTGAATGGGCTGAAATACATCTGCTTTATGGGCTGAAATACATCTGCTTTACAGTTGCTATGAGTTTTATTGTATTGGATTTTTTTGAATTAGTGTAGATTAGTTGTTAATGTAATTGGCATAAAAAAGTTCTTTATCTTATGCTACATATACCACGTATATGTAAATATGAATGTATTCTTAGGGTGTTGAGCTGCTCATCTCTAGACAATCAGATGTTAATAGCCAAGATGTAGTCAAGTTCTCTCCACTTCATATTGCATGCTACTTTGGCCATGAAAAGGTGAGTTTGAAGCGATAAAAATATTGATTTGACATGCATGCTTATAAAATAATCAACAATTTCAATATTTCAATGTTGTTTAGCCTAAAGTTTGGCTTTTCCTTCCCCATATGAAGTACATAAAAACCTTTATCTATGAACACCTCTCTAATCTGAACGTCAAATTGAACATGTCCCATTTTTATTTGCAAACTACTGCTGCCAATTGTAATGTTAAGATACCTCAAACTCCAAACACCTACTTTATATCAAAACACCATTTGCTGTTTTGCTGGTCCAAGTGGCATTTGGATTAGATGGTTTTAATGTGAACGAATTATTTGTTATAATTGCAGGTTGTGGAGACATTGATTAAAGATGGTGCTGAGATAGACCTGGCAGGCAGCGTCGATGACAAACCCCTACATCTGTCTGCCTCTAAAGGTTACCTGAAGATAACTCAATTACTTGTGGAAGGGATAGGTGACAATAGAGCAGATGGTAAAAACAAATTGTATTTGAAATACAAATCTATATGCGTTTACATCGTGTCTATTATATTGGCCCTTGTAAATTGGAACACCCGGTACATAAATTCCGAATGAAAAAAACACGAACTTTGAGCTGAAAAACACCGAATATTTCTCACTCATAGACGGTATCATTATCATCATATTGAACTACTTGTCAATTTTCTTAATTGGAAAAGTTGTGTTTATTTCTGCTAGAAGTTGTGTCTCTACATAAAAGTATATTGAAAAATACACTAAGTACGAAAATAAGGAATGGAAAGGTTAAAAGTACAGACAGTGAACATTAGAATAATTACACTGCACTGTACTTTTAGATATATCATTTTTGTCATTCTATTTTTGTAGTGAACTGTGTTGATAAGGAGCAGCATACACCTTTACACTTTGCTTGTAAGGGAGGCTACTTGGCAATAATAACCTACCTCCTACAACATGATGCAGACCATAGACTCACTAATATATATGGGGACACTCCATTGCATTTGTAAGTACTTGACCATAGACTCGCTAATATATATGGGGACACTCCGTTGCATTTGTAAGAACTTGATCATAGACTCACTAATATATATGGGGACACTCTGTTGCATTTGTAAGTACTTGACCATAGACTCACTAATATATATGGGGACACTCCGTTGCATTTGTAAGTACTTGACCATAGACTCACTAATATATATGGGGACACTCCATTGCATTTGTAAGTACTTGACCATAGACTCACTTATATATATGGGGACACTCCATTGCATTTGTAAGTACTTGACCATAGACTCACTAATATATATGGGGACACTCCTTTAGTACACATTTTGAAGATCATCTTACACACATACAAGCTATAATGGAGAAACGGAGAAAACACAACCTTACAGTGAAACCATCAAAGTGTAAGTTTGGCTACAAAGAGATTGAATACCTTGGACACATAGTAGGAGATGGCAAAGTGAAACCAAGCAATTCTAAAATAGAAGCAATAGAGAAATTAGGAAAACTAACTACCAAGAAGAAGCTGAGAACCTTCCTGGGGATGACTGGATATTACAGGAAATTTATCCCAGATTATGCTCACTTAGCTTTTCCATTGACAGAACTTACCAAGAAGAGTGTACCAACAAACTTACCATACAGTAAAGAAGTAGATGATGCTACAAAGAAGCTGAAAGAAGCACTGGCTACTGAACCAATTCTGAGAAGTCCAGATTTTGGCAGAATGTTCATCGTGATAACTGATGCCTCTGAAGTTGGAATCAGCGGTGTATTGAGTCAAATATTTGACAATGGTGAACACCCTGTCATGTATGCCAGTAGGAAACTGCTTCCACGAGAGAGAAACTATGCAGTTATAGAAAAAGAATGCTTAGCAATAGTTTGGTCAGTAGAACACATGAGATATTACTTACTTGGTAAGCAATTTGAAATAGTCACTGACCATAACCCATTGAAATGGTTGAATGAAATGAAAAACACAAATCAAAGACTTAGTAGATGGATACTCATTCTGCAGCAGTACAAATTTGAATTGAAACAAAGACCAGGAAAGTACAATGCAGCAGCTGATTGCCTATCCAGGCTATAACCTGAATGTATGATTAGTGAAATGATATTGACATTTAGAAGCTGAATTTGTAAATTGACGGAAAGAAGGAAGAAGTACTTCTGCATTTGGAAAATTCATCCAAATTAATTTTTAATTTTATCGTTACAAGTAGCAGGATTTATGTTTTTAAAATGACAGCTTGTCTGAGTAACGACAAACTCAAGAAGGGGGGAGATGTAATATAAATAAGAAGAGAAACTTACTACAAGGGCTAAATTGCCTCAATACCAAGTTATTTTAAAGGTAACCAGAGATTTAAAAGGGCTAATTATTATGCTATAGAGGCCAAACTAGTCAGTTGAGCCCAGGTTGTCCACATGTAAAGACATAGGCAGTTGAAGATTAGTTTTAGATAGATAATTTTAGGTGTGCACACTTTAGATAAGTTAGATAATCAAGATAAGTTACAAATTACAAACGAAAGAAACATCTTACCAACAAGGAGACAAGAACAACACGCTAAGGTAATCTTTCGTTCACAGTTGCATTTGTAAGTATTTGACCATAGACTCACTAATATATATGGGGACACTCCGTTGCATTTGTAAGTACTTGACCATAGACTCACTAATATATATGGGGACACTCCGTTGCATTTGTAAGTACTTGACCATAGACTCACTAATATATATGGGGACACTCCATTGCATTTGTAAGTACTTGACCATAGACTCACTAATATATATGGGGACACTCCGTTGCATTTGTAAGAACTTGACCATAGACTTACTTTACTAATATATATGGGAACACTCTGTTGCATTTGTAAGTACTTGACCATAGACTCACTAATATATATGGGGAAACTCCGTTGCATTTGTAAGTACTTGACCATAGACTCACTAATATATATGGGGACACTCCGTTGCATTTGTAAGTACTTGACCATAGACTCACTAATATATATGGGGACACTCCGTTGCATTTGTAAGTACTTGACCATAGACTCACTAATATATATGGGGAAACTCCATTGCATTTGTAAGTACTTGACCATAGACTCACTAATATATATGGGGACACTCCGTTGCATTTGTAAGTACTTGACCATAGACTCACTAATATATATGGGGACACTCCGTTGCATTTGTAAGTACTTGACCATAGACTCACTAATATATATGGGAACACTCCATTGCATTTGTAAGTACTTGACCATAGATTCACTAATATATATGGGGACACTCCATTGCATTTGTAAGTACTTGATCATAGACTCACTGATATACATGCATATGGGGACACCCCATCGCATTTGTAAGCACTTGACCATAGACTCACTAATATATATGGGGACACTCCATTGCATTTGTAAGTACTTGACCATAGACTCACTAATATATATGGGGACACTCCATTGCATTTGTAAGTACTTGACCATAGACTCACTAATATATATGGGGACACTCCGTTGCATTTGTAAGTACTTGACCATAGACTCACTAATATATATGGGGATACTCCATTGCATTTGTAAGTACTTGACCATAGACTCACTTATATATATGGGAACACTCCATTGCATTTGTAAGTACTTTAACATAGACTCACTAATATATATTGGGGCACTCCGTTGCATTTGTAAATACTTGACCATAGACTCACTAATATATATGGGGACACTCCATTGCATTTGTAAGTACTTTACCATAGACTCACTAATATATATTGGGGCACTCCGTTGCATTTGTAAGTACTTGACCATAGACTCACTAATATATATGGGGACACTCCATTGCATTTGTAAGTACTTGACCATAGACTCACTTATATATATGGGAACACTCCATTGCATTTGTAAGTACCTTACCATAGACTCACTAATATATATGGGAACACTCCATTGCATTTGTAAGTACTTGACCATAGACTCACTAATATATATTGGGGCACTCCGTTGCATTTGTAAATACTTGACCATAGACTCCCTAATATATATTGGGGCACTCCGTTGCATTTGTAAATACTTGACCATAGACTCACTAATATATATGGGGACACTCTGTTGCATTTGTAAGTACTTGACCATAGATTCACTAATATATATGGGGACACTCCGTTGCATTTGTAAGTACTTGACCATAGACTCACTAATATATATTGGGGCACTCCGTTGCATTTGTAAATACTTGACCATAGACTCACTAATATATATGGGGACACTCTGTTGCATTTGTAAGTACTTGACCATAGACTCACTAATATATATTGGGACACTCCGTTGCATTTGTAAGTACTTGACAGTAGACTCACTAATATATATGGGGACACTCCATTGCATTTGTAAGTACTTGATCATAGACTCACTAATATATATGGGGACACTCCGTTGCATTTGTAAGTACTTGACCATAGACTCACTAATATATATGGGGACACTCTATTGCATTTGTAAGTACTTTACCATAGACTCACTAATATATATTGGGGCACTCCGTTGCATTTGTAAGTACTTGACCATAGACTCACTAATATATATGGGGACACTCCATTGCATTTGTAAGTACTTGACCATAGACTCACTTATATATATGGGAACACTCCATTGCATTTGTAAGTACTTTACCATAGACTCACTAATATATATGGGAACACTCCATTGCATTTGTAAGTACTTGACCATAGACTCACTAATATATATTGGGGCACTCCGTTGCATTTGTAAATACTTGACCATAGACTCACTAATATATATTGGGGCACTCCGTTGCATTTGTAAATACTTGACCATAGACTCACTAATATATATGGGGACACTCTGTTGCATTTGTAAGTACTTGACCATAGATTCACTAATATATATGGGGACACTCCGTTGCATTTGTAAGTACTTGACCATAGACTCACTAATATATATTGGGGCACTCCGTTGCATTTGTAAATACTTGACCATAGACTCACTAATATATATGGGGACACTCTGTTGCATTTGTAAGTACTTGACCATAGACTCACTAATATATATTGGGACACTCCGTTGCATTTGTAAGTACTTGACAGTAGACTCACTAATATATATGGGGACACTCCATTGCATTTGTAAGTACTTGATCATAGACTCACTAATATATATGGGGACACTCCGTTGCATTTGTAAGTACTTGACCATAGACTCACTACTATATATGGGGACACTCCGTTGCATTTGTAAGTACTTGACCATAGACTCACTAATATATATGGGGACACTCCGTTGCATTTGTAAGTACTTGACCATAGACTCACTAATATATATTGGGGCACTCCGTTGCATTTGTAAATACTTGACCATAGACTCACTAATATATATGGGGACACTCTGTTGCATTTGTAAGTACTTGACCATAGATTCACAAATATATGGGGACACTCCATTGCATTTGTAAGTACTTGACCATAGACTCACTAATATATATGGGGACACTCTGTTGCATTTGTAAGTACTTGACCATAGACTCACTAATATATATGGGGACACTCCATTGCATTTGTAAGTACTTGACCATAGACTCACTAATATATATGGGGACACTCCGTTGCATTTGTAAGTACTTGACCATAGACTCACTAATATATATGGGGACACTCCATTGCATTTGTAAGTACTTGACCATAGACTCACTGATATATACTGGGGCACTCCGTTGCATTTGTAAGTACTTGACCATAGACTCACTAATATATATGGGGACACTCCATTGCATTTGTAAGTACTTGACCATAGACTCACTAATATATATGGGGACACTCCATTGCATTTGTAAGTACTTGACCATAGACTCACTAATATATATGGGGACACTCCGTTGCATTTGTAAGTACTTGGCCATAGACTCACTAATATATATGAAGACACTCCGTTGCATTTGTAAGTACTTGACCATAGACTCACTAATATATATGGG